TCTCTCTGCCCTTCACTGTGGTGAAATACACGAGGCAGGGACTTAGTTTTGCTCATCCTTGTATCACAGTGCCTTGAATGGTTCTTGGAATGTAACAGGTGTTTAGTAAATGAATTCAGAATGGTTGCAGAATGGTTAGACTTGTTGTGATCATCTGCCTGCTATCTCTTCTGACTTCTGCACTTTGTGAGGGTAATATAACATAGTTGAGTATTTCCTTAAAAAGACTTAGGAGAGAGTTTTGAAAGAATAAAATGAATTTCTAGAATCATTGAGAGTGAGGGCTAGAAAAGATGTCCAGATCATCTATTTTATAAATAAGAAAAAAAAAGTCACGCAGTCCAACAAAAGGGAGAACCACCCATTGAAATACATTGGCAAAGCTAGTGATATATTCTACTATTAAGTAAATATATTTGTTTGGTTGATAACGGAACGGAGGAGAGAAGTAAAAGAAAATAGCGAAGACACTCGAGAGTGGTGTGTAGAACATCTACGGCAATTAGAAATTTGGGCAGTGGTGAATTTTTTAAATGCTTAAAAGTGAGTAAGTAGAAACATGTAGAATTCAGCTATGCTGTTTTGAATGGAACCAAGAGTGGCAGTTTTTGTTTGTTTTGCCAAAAATATGTTTGTCAAGAATAGCATTTCCTTTTCAAAAGTTTCCAAATATGTGCAGTATTACCATTTGGTAGGTCAATATATACTATTTATTGATAGTTTGGTAAATTAATCTTCTTTAACCCATCTGTCTTGTTTACCTGAGAATTTTTGTTTTCTTAGTTTACTACATTTGTTAAATCTAGTTCTACAGATTAGTACTTAACTTCTCTCTTTTCCTCTAGCCCTGCCATTACATTTTTTTATATTGGGCTATTTCCCGTTATTGATTTTCTGTAAATTCCTCATAACAGATCTAGTAACAGAGTCCCTTTGAGGAAAGTAAATGAAAATTATAACAAATATTTTACAGGCACTTACTCAGCAAAACCTTGTAGCCAGCTTCCTTTTTTTTAATATTTAGAATCCATTCATCATAGGTTACTTTTTTTTCCATCTCACATTCTAATTGCTTAAGTGACTAGTGTTTTCAGGTACTAAGTTTTTTCTCATTTGTTTGTTCTGCTTATTTTTCTAAACTTCAAATGTTCCAACTATTGACCTTAGCTCACAGTCTCACATATTGGTGACCATACTAGAATAAATGTTTATGGTGTGTATCCCAGAATGTGTAGTGAAACCTAAGATTGAATGATGCATTTTGGAACCTATAATACTACTCACATGTATGGTGTTTAAATTTCCATAAGCACAAAAAGAAAGAGAAGCATGCAGCAGGATCTAAGAAGTAAGGGGTGAAGAACATGAAGAATAAAACTGAATGTTGACAAAGTCATGGAAAAAGATTAGAAGAAGCATTTCTCATTTTGAAACCTTTTTTGAAGAATAAATCAGTTTCTTTATGGTGATAAAAAGGAAAGAAGTATCCAAACAATTAAGTTTACATGTTGTTTCTTTTCTATTTTTTGTTGTTGTTGTTGTGGCCCTACTGTGAACAATCATTGTGAAATATTAAGCCTATAGTCAGTATCTTATATTAGTTTATATAAAGATTTATCCTACATTATACCTCATTAAAATCAGCCAATTAGATTTAATGGATCTGTTATCGCAAGTTCCTCAGCTGCACTTGGTTTCTGTATCCTTGAAATGCATACTTCCATACTCTTCACTGTGATGTTACAAGGATAATTTGTTTTCTATAAGGTTATCTGAGCTCCTTTGAACAAAGCCCTAGGTAAATATAGCATAACTTTATGACAGCATTTTGGCGGTGCTATGGATTTATCAGAAAGTCACAAGCTATATGAAAAATTCAGGTAAGACTAGACAGGATCTTATAAGATAGATAAGAAACAAATTTAATACACCATTCCCCTTTCCTTCCTTAGAACATCTAGATCTATGCCTTCTGTAGGAACCAGATAATAACCCATTTCGTCTATGAAACTTGTGCTGACTAGCATAGGCCATGACGCTCCATTCCCTCATTTGTTCTTTACTTAGTAAACTATGGCTAGTGATATTTATGTAAACATTTTGCTTGGATTGCTATAGGAACATTCCATGTGTGTATTTCTCATCTACTTCTATAGGACTATGACCTTTTTTCAGGAAAGACAGTGTTATTATACTTTAGGAGCATAGTGTAGGGAGATATGAGCATTTCGTAATAAGACCCCACCCCATCAAAGGGCAGAAGCTGCAGGGAGGTAAGAAGTACCCTGCAGGAGAGGCCCCAAGAGGTTTGACTACCAATGGGGCTCAGCAAGGGAGTCTCTTGAGAATCCACCCAAGTGCTGGCGATGTTGTAGGACTTTTTCCTTAGCTCAGCTAAGAGCCGGGTTCTTATTACATGATCACAAGAGATTAGGCTTCCAGACACTTTGAAGGGTGAGAAAAAAAAATGGAATTTATTGGGAAAAGAGGGGATAAAAATAAAACAGGGACCCTCCGCAAAGCCAGAGTCCTGCTAGCTGGCTTCCTGCCTGGCTGATTGAATTCCAGTTTCCACCCCAGGAGAGGAGAGGCCAGGCTCCTCCCCTGCAAATGGTGTGAACTTCCCAAGGCTCACCCAACTGCACATTCCTCACAGTGCTCAGGCCTTGGAGGTTCTGTCAGGGAGCCCTTCCCACCTGGCTGTATCAGTGAGAAGAGTCAACATAAATCATCAAATAGGGCCAGATTGCTCAGAACTGGCTTTGGACCTTAGCGGGCAGGTGAAAACCTTTTGCTTCCTTTACCTCCCCTCCCTCACCCCTCTAGCACCCTGGCCACTGGCAGAGTCATGCCCCACCTCCGCCCAGGCCTTCATCTGGAGGAGGGAAGATGATCTGACATTCAATCAGGTTCTGTGTTTGGATTATTGTTTGTAACAGATCATTTTCAATTGCTAATGACATGACTATCGTGATTTAATGTGACAACCAAAGCCTGTTATTTAAGAGTGACTCAAAACTTTGGAGTTTGGGTTTTTTTTTTGTTTGTTTGTTTGTTTTCAAATTATGACTAAATTTCCATCCAGAAGCAAGAAAAAGATCATTTTTTACTAAATAAATTTTAAAGGAAGAATGGGAAACAAAACCAAATGCATTTTCTGATTGCTTAAAAAAATATATCCAAGATAACTTAGATATGTGGTCTTTCAGGGAATTTTTAGAATAACTGGGATGCTGCAATATTAGAGTTAGTCATGTACCAATTAAAATGAATAATATGTAAGGTTTGAGTTAATTTCATATGTTTTAGAACAGCGATCTTACTATTTATTTCTAGCAAAAATTTAGAATGGGCCCATCAAACAACATTTAGAAAGGCACACCTCCAAAAGAGCTTCTCTGGACTTTCAAAGATATTTCTTTCCCAGATACACTCCAGTGATTAACTATTTGTAGACAATACTGAAGCCTGAGGGCTGGGTCATAGCTTACTGTCTATGAGGGACTGTTTCCACCTGTGGAAGGAAGGCAGTGGCCTGTTTCAGTACTGTATTTTTTTTTTTTTTTTTTTGAGAGACAGTCTCGCTTTGTCACCCAGGCTGGAGTGCAGTGACGTCATCTCAGCTCACTGCAAGCTCCGCCTCCCGGGTTCCCGCCATTCTCCTGCCTCAGCCTCTTGAGTAGCTGGAACTACAGGCGCCTGCCACTACGTCCGGCTAGTTTTTTGTGTTTTTAGTAGAGACGGGGTTTCACCGTGTTAGCCAGGATGGTCTCCATCTCCTGACCTCGTGATCCTCCCGCCGCGGTCTCCCAAAGTGCTGGGATTACAGGCGTGAGCCACCGTGCCCGGCCTCAGGACTCTTTTAACTGCCTTGGTCTGTTAATTATTATTATCAGTAACTAAGTTGGATGAAGACATAGATAATCATGTTTGGTTTTTTAATTCTGTAATGACACAAAGCTTAAAAGCAATACTGGATGTGTGGGATGCCAAAATCAGGATTTTAAAAGCTCAGCAGAGATTGCCATGTATGAGTAATACCTATCTAGCTCAAGAAGAGTCTACCCAAATATCTAATACAATCTTAGTTTGCATTATTAGGAAGAGGGCACCTGATTTGGAGAGGCAGTGGTAGTGCTTTGCTGTGCACAGGTCAGACTCAAGTGAATGATTTGCCTAAATACACTTTAAAAGTGTATGCTCCAGGAAATTAGTCATGTGGAGCATGAGAGGACTTCAAACCAACAGTGTATGTTTAATGGATAAGAGAAGATTCTTCAGGCGTATGACAGAATCTGTAGATACATGTATCTAAATATACTAGAACTCTTCAAAACAGAAGTACATTGAATAATCCAGTGTGAAAAACCCATGGTGTTATCTTGAAGGTCGCGGCAGGTACTCAATTCACAATTATTGAAATAAATTTAAAATCTAGCATTTTCACTTAAAATTTCATTAGACATTATCCTATACAAATATAATATGCTAATTAAGATGATATTGCAAGTCAACAAACTCAAGAAATAGACACCTCTTGTCTCTAGGAAACATCAACTAGAGGCTGACGAGGAGGTAGTGGTGATGATTATACATGTGCATACTATAAGATATGTCACTGTGATTTCAATATTATGAATACTATGATCTTAAAGAAAGTAATCTAGCAACTAATGTTTTAGAGACATAAGTATAAAATCAAAATCATCAAAATATAGACTTATGGTATATGAAAGCTTCACTTTTAATTTCCAGGAAAACTAAATACAAGTTAGAGTGTTTGAAATAAAGATACTGTTTTCATAGAACTTTATAAAATGGGTCACTAAATCTATGAGAAAAGAAATGTGAATTTCTTATAAATAATTGAAAATAAATCATTAAAGTATCTCTTACCACAAGATAAGAAATCTTCCATTCTGTTTCTATTTCACATAATCCTTCAATCTTTTTATAATATGTACTCAAGATATATGCATTCTTTCTTTGCTTTTTTTTAGGGTACTTTGAATCCCTATTGTGTGTTGTGGGATGACGCCAAAACGTAAGTGACAGATGTTTTCCTACATTACTTTGGGCTAAATATTCAAAGTCCATTAAGTTATTTCAGCTGCCTGCTAGTTAACAGGAATATAAGTCAGCGAGATGTTACATTCAGAGAAAAAAAAAAAATTCTCTTTCTGAATCTTCAGTACAGCATGATGAATGTGTTTGTGTGTAATGATGCCATCAGATTACATCTCAAGATAGGATTGCATTACCTAATGTGTAAGGCACATTGCAATGTGAATTCCATGAGGAATTTTTAAAAGCTCTGATATTTTAGAATTTATAGAGGCTCAAATGCCATCTTTACATCTTGCCCTAGTAATTCAGCTTAGCATTGCAGAATAAAATAGCAAGCTCTATGGTCATTTAGCCAATATATTACTCACATGACCTTGAATCTATTATCAGAGTAATGCAATATTTATATGGTCCTTCCAAATTGTTTTGTCATAAGAACATTGAATAACATTTAATTTTTTATTTGTATATTTTTGAATTCAGGCAGAAAAAATAATTGCACTAAATAAGTGTGAGTGATTCTTCCATGTTTTTTTTTTTGTTTGTTTGTAGAAGTAATCGCAATATAGCTCATCAAAATCATCTTTATTTTATTGATAATCTTATGAGATTTTGATGTCTCAAAGAGCAGAAAAATCTGTAGTTAAGTCTTGGTTAGATGCCTATACTTTAAATACTTGTGCAGGTTACAACTTTTATTTTTTGGTTTGGTTTGATTTTGCATGAGGGGAGATAAATATCAATCAATCCCAAAAGCTAACACCACTCTATATATGCTGTCAGATGAAGCACCATATTGTTGGACTCTATGTATTCTACGAATTTTCCTGGTGTTCTTCACCCCTGATACGATCTACATCTGAGGTTTTGTGATGCTACTTGTTTCTCACCAGAGAGTCTAGAAGAGGAACATTCTTAGAATCTCTAGGAAAAGATTGAACTCTCGGCCAATTTTCTCAGTCCTAGGATGCTGATATAGTTTAAATTACAATTAATATTAAACACACTTTTTGCTATAGGTTCTGATACTCTGGGTATCCTCTACTTCTAGTCCAGTACAATAGTTAAGTACAGAGAATTCCAAATTGCCCTGGTGATAACATGAGCTGGATAGCCTTACTGATGTCATAATTATTTTTTTCTTTTTGGAACTTTACAGACAAATCCATGATAGTAAAATTTTTGCAAGCTTTCTCTCTCTACCATTAGCCAGAGAAGAATTTGGTGGTATAATCTAAGGT